ATATTTCAGGAAAATTGAAGTTGCTGGAGGAATGTTGGTGAGACCAGCTCTGCCCATGGTTCTTTGTTGTGCTTTATTTGTTTTATTTCCGAAGGGTCGTCATGGCAGTGGTCTGTTTACATCTCTGTGTTTTAGATAAACTGCTCTGTTCCTTGTCCTGATAAGAATCGCATCCAAGTTACTGCCTTTCTTTGGAACTGGGCGGGTCTCCTGGTTAAACCCTAACTGCCCACGTTGAGTGACAGTGGCCTGTGCCGCGCCTTTTGTAGGCTTTGGCTCTGTGTTCTCTGTCCCTGTGCTTTGCTTCGCACACCTGCCACACACAGGGGTGCTGGGGGTTTTGCACGGGATGCCAAAGCACAGCCCTTGACCAGTGCGACGTGGTTAAGGGGAAGAGGATTCTGCTGCTTGGTGAGCTTGCTGCTGGTCAGAACGTACCTGTAGGCGAAGCTCGCCTCCTCCCCAGTTACGAGGGTTATTCCACTGTGGATTAGTCATGCCTTTTATCCTGAAATTGATGAATGAGTCTACTCAGCTGCCCAGTGTGGGAGGCAGCGTTTCTGTCTCCAGCGGGTGTGCCAGTCCCTGTAAGTGTCTGCTGGTAAAAGGGCTGAGACTCCAGTCCCGGTCTGAAGCAAAGCATAACCAAACAGTGGGAGCAAGCTGCATTAGAAGGAGCTGTACTATGCCTCACTGCCCAGGAAGAAGAGAACTCATTGTGGGGGCCGGCAGGTGGCGTAGTGGTTGAGGGTGCTGGACACCCACATGACTGACAGTGGTTCGAGTCCCGGACCGGGTGGCTTGCTTCCTCTCTCTCTCTCTCTCTCTCTCCCCTTCTGTGGTTAAATTAAATATAAATAAATAAAGTCAAATAAAATAATTCTTTAAAAAAAAAAAAAGAGGGACCAACAGTTAGTGTAATGTCGCTGGACTCCCGTGGAGTCGACCGCTGTTTGAGTCCTGGACCCTGTGGCTTAAACTCACACTGGGCGCGTGTGCGTGCGTGCCCAAGATCCCGAGAGGAGAGAGGAGGAGAGGGATTGAGGTGTGGCCATCCCCCCTGGGGAGTGATTTCTCTCTTTCTGTCTGTCTCTCTCTGTCTGGCGAGCGTATGTTCCCTATAGCAAAAACCTCCCCCCCAAAAAAAAGAGAAAGAGAGAGAGAGAAAGAACTCAGATTACTTATCTGTAGTCTTGTTTCCACTGTAGTTTCAGCCTGTGGTCATTTCCTTTTTGAGAAGTAAACATTGCTCATACGTTGTCTGGGTCTAAGAAGGAGGAGAGGTTTTTTTATCTTCGTCAATCTTATCATTCTTAACCAGAAACCTAACTAGTCTGTTACCTTGGTAAAATTAGTAAGAGAT